ACACCCCGATTTTCAGAAGTTTCTGGGTTTTTGTTGGGTATTTGAAGGTAAAAAGAAATATTTTGAATTTACAGTACTTCCGTTTGGGCTCTCATCTGCTGGGTATATTTTTACAAAAGTAGTAAGAACCTTAGTTAAATATTGGAGATCTCAAAGTATTCCAGTAGTAGTATATTTGGATGACGGCTGGGTTTGTTCAAAATTCAATGAGTGTTTAGAGATTGAAACTTTTCTTCGAGAAACTTTAAATAAATCAGGTTTTCAGATTAATGAAGAAAAATCTCAATTTACGCCCGTTGCAAATATTACATGGCTAGGGTTTATATGGAATCTAAAAGGCGGGTTATTTGAAGTACCGGTGGAAAAGATTACTTAAGTCCGGGCAGATATTGTTTCTATATTAGGAAATATAGGACAGGTAAGTGCACGCATGGTGGCTTCTGTTGTGGGCAAGGTCATTGCTTTGAAACCGTCGTTAGGGAATATTTGTCAATTGATGACGAGGAATTTAAGCATGGCATTATGTTTTCGAGCCGATTGGGATTGTGTATTCACATTGTCACGTGACTGTATTTATGAATTGGATTTTTGGTTGACAAATTTGTGGGCGTTACCTTCTAGACGAATAACAAATGCTGAATGTAGTTTACCTGAAAAAATCGTATTTTCAGATGCAAGTTCTTTTGCTGGTGCAGGATTTTCTATTGAACATGATAGCAAAATTGTACATTATATGTGGAATGATTTCGAAAAAAGCCGAAGTTCTACTTGGAGAGAGATTAAAACAATTTGTGTTATCATTGAAATTTTGCGTAAATATTTTTCAGGAAAGTTAGTCAAAGTTTACACAGATAATCAAAATGCATTGACAATTTTATGTAAAGGTAGTATGAAGTTGGAGCTGCATCAGCTAGCTTTAAGTCTGTTTGGACTGTGTGTAAGAAATTCTATACGATTAGAAATTGAATGGATTCCACGAAATTTGAATGTTTATGCAGATCATTTGAGCAAGATATTTGATTTTGATGATTGGGGAGTATCTGATAATATATTCAATTATTTAAATAAGAAATGGGGCGAATTCACCTGTGACTTATTTGCTGATTGTAAAAATCACAAAACAGAAAAATTTTACTCTAGATACTGGTCTCCTGGAACTGCTGGAGTAGATGCATTTGCTCAGGACTGGGCAGGGGAAAATTGCTGGATTGTTCCTGCTCCTGTTTTAATTTGTAGAGTAGTTTATTATTTACAATTTTGTAAAGGATTTGGTACTTTAGTTATTCCGAAATGGAAATCAGCGTTGTTTTGGCCAGTAATTTGGGAGGGAAAAAGTAAAAGATCCAAGCACTTTATTAAAGATTACATTGAATACAAGGAACCGCATAATTTTTTCATAGCAGGTTCAGATACAAACAGCATTTCCGCTTTGAAGAAGTTTTCGGGTAATGTGTTGGCTTTAAAAGTAGATTTTAGATAAAATGTGTTATAGTCGCAAAATAGATAAGAGCACCATGTGCATTAATGCTAATTGAGTAAACATATATTATGCACCATGTGCAAATTTCTAGAAATACACAAGCACCATGTGCATAACGTACATTATAGAAAACATGCACCATGTGCGAGATCATGCATAAAAATAAAACATGCACCATGTAAAAAAATAATCGTAAATAATAAAATGAGAAGTATTTATGCACTGAATGTATAAAAATTCATTAAATGTATTGATTTATTAATAGGAATACAAGAAGTTTTGGACGGAGATTCGACAAATAGAAAAGAATAAATCACTTTCTGCAGCTGTATCGGAAATTCCCCGTATCATCAGAAGTGGTAAAAGTGAGAAGACTAACAAATTATATGATGCGTATTTCCAGAAGTTTAAAAAATGGTGCGTGGGAAATGGTGTTTCTTATCTATACCGGCGTCTGTGAGTACAGTGGCAGTTTTTCTAAGTAGTCTTGTGCAACAAGCTGTGTCCGATTCTGTCCTTTCTGCGTATTTCTATAGTATTAAGTGGAACCATGATGTTAACATTTGTACGAATCCGTGTGAGACGAAAATACTTCAGATGATTATGGAAGGAGGGAAGAGGATTCTTTGCAAACCTGTTCAGAAAAAAGAGCCGATAACTCCAGAAATCTTAGAGAAAATTGTAAATAAATATGGTAATGACAATGTTAAAAATGATTTGTCTTGTGTTAGAATTTGTACGATGTTTTTGGTTGCTTTTGCAGGATTTTTAAGATTCAATGAACTTTCAAATTTGAGGGTCAAGAATGTGATTTTTCATGATTTGTATATGTCATTACATATCGAGAAAAGCAAAACAGATGTATATAGAAGGGGAAACGATGTTCTTATATCGTGCACAGGAAATAGAACATGTCCCGTTTTTTGGATGAAACACTATTTAAAGTTAACAGGACTTGCTGAAAAACCAGAAGATTATATTTTTCGGTCTATTCGTTTTTTCAAGTCGGTTAAAGGTTATAGCTTATGCTCTATTAACAAACCTATTTCATTTACGAGAGCACGTGAAATTTTATTTGAAGTGTTGTCATCTATTGGTTTAGATTGTAAAAAGTTTGGTTTGCACAGCTTACGCAGTGGAGGTGCTACTTCAGCAGCCTCTAATGATGTCAATGAAAGGTTACTGAAGATACATGGAAGGTGGAAGTCAGATTTATCTAGAGACACTTATATTAAAGATTCAGTTGTAAACCAATTGAAAGTTACAAAAAATCTAAGCATATAATTTGTTATTTCTTGTTTAAACAGTGTATATATAGATCAGTGTATTTTTTGGGGGGGGGGGGGGGGGGTATTTTACACATTACTCTCTTTGATATTCTAAGAGCTAGCGAGCAGCATTCTGTTTACGACACATGTGTTTGTTGATTATTTAGCACTTAATTAATTTATATTCGGACGAACGAAGTGAGGGAGAATATAATTATACTTATGTGCGGCCGCAGTTGCCGCATGTTCGAAATTTAGGGTCACGTGATTTGTTGGTATAAATAGAAGCTCGCAGAGTTGGGCGTTTATCTAAGCTCGCTCGGTTCTTGGGATATCAAGTTAGGTAGTAAGGTACATGTACTGTGTATAAGAACATTTGGTGTTCAAAATAGACGATGTTGATATACAAATGGAATTTTCTGTAGGTGATTTGAAATTGTCATGTGGTTTGAGATTTAGATTTATATACATGTATTAAAAATAAAGAGCTAGCGAGCAGCATTCTGTTTACGACACATGTGTTTGTTGATTATTTAGCACTTCATTAATTTATATTCGGGCGAACGAAGTGAGGGAGAATATAATCAGACAGAATGCCCATAATCTCAAAATGCAGGGATACCCTAACTATCAAAATAGGCATATTGAAAGAACAAGAGTCTCGTTTAAAATCATATAATTTCCTAAGCTCTATGGTCAATACAATCACCTTGTTAGTAAATATAATCTGATATTAAGTCAAATGCTGACTGAAGTTTTTCATACATGTATTATAAATAATCCATTATTTACATACTGAATTGTCGGTGTATTTTCGTTATTTCCTGATCATGACGTGGAGCACCCGGAGGATGTGACTGGTCGACAGTAAAATGCTCAATCCTCAATGGCACCTGATCCCATCTTTGATTTTTAGAGGTCAATGTTTGCTCTGATCCTAATTTGTATTGTTTGAATTGACTTTTGAGCTCGAATATTGTTCGTTATCTCCATATAGTATATGTTATCTGATGATTCACTCTCAATGTATACCAGTGCTTGGCATATTTTTAAAAATTGCTTCGTGAGCATTTTCATATAACAACGTGGCCCATGGTCCACATTGTTCACCTTTTTATATATCATTTCAGTATATAGGAAGTTAGTTTTTTAAGTGTAAACAATCTTACCAGGGGAACATGGGAGGGGTAAATATAGGATCCTCTGTAATCTACAATAATTGAAGACTTTTTTATATAAATAAGCACTTTTACCAACATGGCTGCAAAAGACTTTATAGAATTTCTCTTATAGGCCTACATTCCTATTTAAAAGAGTTATCTTCTTTTCTGGCCTCGTTGTTCCCTTGGAGTTATGATTTCAACAAGCTTGAATCTACACTGCTTGACAGTATTGCCATATTGATATCCACTGTGGGACGTGGAGACTGGTCCTTCGGATGAGACCGTATTAACCAAGGTCCCATGTCGCAGTAGGTGCTTGCATGAGAAAAAAAATCCCTCACTGCTCAACGGCCCTAAGCTTAGTGCAGAGTATAGGACAAAATCTGCAGCTCTCCAAAGGCAATGATGACGTTTTCATATGATTGAAAAATTCTTGAGAGGAAATTAAACAATATACAAACAAAAAACAAACCATACTGATAGGACAATTTGTGACTTTGCAGTTGCAGAATATAATTCTTTAAATGATTTTTCCAAGATATTCCTATGTAAGACTTAGTTTGCCGATTGCAGTCCCATCCTAGCCACCCAGTTTCATGATCTGAACAAAAATGAAATTTCTTGCTGAAAATTCTATATTTTATTACTGAATGTGTCTTCACTAATATAGAGAAGATTTTTTCCTTCATATATCTATGTAATGAAGCTTTGATATACCTTTCAGCTTTTTTCACCAAGTTAATTTTTTCAAAGATTCCACCAAACTTTTTTTCTAATATTCTTAATAATCCCCCCTTAAAAGAGGCTGTAGCCCTTTATTTTAAGTTTTAATACCCTCTACCCAAAGAAGCTTTGTGGCAAACTTTGATTAATATTGATTCTGAAAAAGAAGTAGAAATTGTGAAAGTTTACAGACGAGCAAACGGACGACGGACAAAAATGACCAGGAAAGTTCTCTTAATGTTTCAGTTTTGGTAAGCTAAAAAGACTAAATAAATATTAAGGTTCAGGTATTCTCAATGCTATTTCTATAGAGGGTCTTTGTTGTTGCACTTTACCGTCTGTTCTGAATAGGGTTTTTAAAAAAAACTGAATGATTTGTGTGCATTTGAATGAAATTTTTAAATATACGCACTCCCAGTTTAATTTTTTCTGTATAAGTTTTTGTGTGACAGTCAAACCACACATAATGTAAATAAGCGATTCCATGTACCTTAAACCTGTGTTTAAATATCACACCAGTGACGTAACGATAATCGTGACCCATTACCTTACGAAAAAAAGTCAACACAAAAACATGTTTCCTGATGTGATTGGAAATAACTAGCATTTACCTGTTCTTTAAATGATTATTATACCGGTCAAGATGAACCGCTATGTGTATGCGATTTTGTTGATTGTTTTATTTGTGTTATGTGAGGAAATATCAGATATTTACGGAAAAACAGTGCCGACCATGCCATCAAAACCATTCAAACGAGGTTTAAGCATAATACCAGAACATGCCGAAACGCTGAACATAAAATGCACAGGTAAGTCGTCAAATATAGACTTTATTCTGAATACCTTGTAAAAAATGAATGTTTATGTGTACGTTTAACACAGCACCAACAAGTTTAATGTACAGCAAATCAATGAACACTCAAATCAGATGTACACCATATAATTTTATATACATTATATATTTATAATTAATTTACATTATTGATAATTATTATTATTATAAAATAAATTTGAGAACATCTTATCAAATACACAACCAATATCTTCAGTGGCCTGATCAAAATGTGTATAATCTTTTGAGTACACACTTGTACACGATTGTGAAGATTTAAACGTTCCACAATTAAAGTCTTTGTAAAGAGGCTTTGTCACTAGTTTTAAGGTCAATTTATAATCCGATCTTCAATTAAAGATGTTAATTTTGAAACAATAAAAATTCTTTAACTTTCATTTAACTTGACAGAATCATCTACTGAAGACGTGTATTCCTCGATATGCCCATTGCTTATTGTTAAAACATCTCTTTTCATATGCATCAAAGTACATTTATATCCCTTCTGGGTTTTTTTTTTCATGTGTTGATTCTTAGTTTGCTTAGATGCATATTATCAGAAAGTTACTGATACGGGATGTTCACACAGGTACAAGTCTGAATTTTATCAGTATTTGATATGCATTATCTAAATTGTTTTGTTTATAATGTCCTTATACAGTCCGTGTTTAACCTTGATACATGTCTAGTTTGTCATCCTAATTGAGATGTGTTACAAATTGTCCTGTATTTTGTTGTGGGAAACATAACACTGTCGACAACTCCACACATCATGCCATGTTAATCGCTCACTCTTCATTGGACAAACAGAAACGTACGATATATTGGTTTAACTTCCACAAATTTACTTCCGATAAAAAATACCTTTTTCAAGTTAGTTTGATAGCAAGTTTTTCGTATTGAATAAACTTTTATCCATATTCGAATCCTGATACACACACAAAAGAAAAAAATGTAAAGCTTTTTAAACACAAAACTATTAATACCTTGGGATTACAGATATGTATTTATATGTAAACTATCTTGATTCAATTTAAATTCTCGATTAAAATACATTCACTGAACGTTATCAATTTGGATACATGATTGTATTCAAGGTGTATAATGCATGACGCACCTACGAGGACAGAAACGATAGAACCTGATGATTTCTTAAGCCTCATCAACTACATCTACCAGAATACATGTACTCTTAAAGTGCTGAAACATCATACAATGTACATTTGTTTAGCGCTGTAGGATATCTACCGCTTGTTATTTTTTTTTTCAGATTGCATATACAGAGATAAAACTGATAGTAAAATTGGACATTCATCTGTGCAAACTAAACATAATGGAAGAAAGAATCACCACAGGCGAAGAAATCGTAGAAAAAACAATAAAGGAAAACATAGAAGAAGGAATAACCTTAGCCCAAACCATCATTTGGCAAGTTCTGACATGGCGGCCTCTAAACCATCAGCTCATCACATGATCTATCCATCCAATCACCAACAAGATTTTCCTCAGTTGCCAGCTGCAGTTGCACGATTGGTAATATCTATAAAGATATCCATTACGCTTTTTGTGTATTTTAAGAGTAAAGATATTTGTGATATTTTAACTACAAGGAAGCATTCCATGAAGATATACTACAGAGAAAAAGATTCGAATGCAATGTGTTTATAGTGATTTTAGGCAAATTATTTTCCATGTTCGCATCAAAGACTCAAAGAATAGATTAGAAAAATACTCGAGGTATCCGACCATATTAAGACCTGGTTTTCTTACCATAACTTTTAATTGTATATAAAATACATGTGTACTCTGATATTATTTCAAAGCATCTTGTACTAGAAAAGGATTTTTCACGAGAAATTTTCAGAAAAAATACATGAGCAGTTATTATTCTTTGAAGATTCCATTGAAAATACAGTACATTGTTTAAAATAAAAAAAATAATTACATGTAATAAGAAAATCAATAAACCAAATGGTATTAAGAGGCATTTGATTTTATAGAAAAATTATTGCAAATTATCTTTTCACCTTAAAGATTTCTTTTAGATTTGATTTTTATTGAATAAAATCAAAGAGGGATGTTTCTTCAAGGATGCATCAAGATAATAATTTAGGACATGTCCTTCTCTTACACACTAATACTAAAACATGAAATTCTGTCTAAATATACTGAGTATTCAGTCCATAAATAAGCAGAATATCCAACAAAAGTATACACAATTGAAAAAATATTAAATCTATTTTGAAACTTTTCCAGAAATTGTGATACCACTTTAAGTATTAAAAAGCCTTGACGGTTGTTTTAAAATTAATGTGCGGTGTTTATCATGGAACTAGCTCACTTACCTTTCAAAGATCTCCAATTGCATGCAGGTGGTGTTACCATTTTTCTATAACTCGTAACTCGTATTTATTCAAATGTAAAATTGGCTCAATTGCTTTGTAAGAAATGTGCAAATCTTCGATATATGAAGTCTCAATCCGATCCGATGACAACCTAAAGTAAATTTTAATTGGCAATTTTAGAACCCTACCACAACATTGGTAATAAATCACATGGTTTCAATTGATAGGAATTTAATTTGAATTTTTAATCGAGAGCAAATGCAGCAAATGGTTTTGTAATTATAAAAACATAGTTACATATACCACTATGTAATTTGATTGGTTTTTGCACAATTATTAATTATATATATGTAGCATTGTTATAAAATGAATTTCATTTTTCAGTCGTTGTATAAGAAATGAAAAGAATAAAATTAATATATTGCATTAACAGGAGAGAAGATTGCACCCATCCCTGTCAGGATCTATCAGTAAATTGAAACAGACACTTACAAAGATTGTTCAAAAGATGAATCGAAAGTTGAATGAGGTAAATAATCATTATCTAGCCATAAAACATGTTTTATGAAATTGATGTTTTCCATATCTGTTTCCTCAGATTTCTCCAAGACACTGTTATAGATACTGCATCAGAGAAGTCATCTTTAAAACAATAACACATGTTGTTCTTTAGATGAAGTTTGAACGTCGAGACTCTCAAGTATCAGCTAAAAACAGCATGATGAAAGTCCGAGAGGAGTTACAACACATCACACAGGAAAACAATAGGGCATATGGTCAGTATTCGAATGATGACGGTATATCCAATTGGCAAAACACATACTGCCTTCGTTAACAAAATAATTGAAAAAATAATATGTACATTTTCGTAAATTCCAATAACAATGAAAAAGTTTAAAATACCCGTTAAAGCAATAAAATTGATCAGGTACAATTTTTAACAAACAAAGAGTCTTTTTGCCTTTTTAATTCAGTAAACAACAATAAGATTATTAAAATCAGAAATTACAGATTTACTCTTCAAATACTAGTAAACAATATAATGATACATTTACCTTTACATTATATGCTCTTCGTAGATGCTATTCTCGATGTATCCCAGCTGACCAGGATGGTTTTACTGAAACAGTCACAACTTGGAGCCCCTGCTCCTTTCCATCACGTGGAGAAACCCGCCTGGATGAAGAAAACCCACTGGAACTATGGACAAATGGATATTGCCAAAAACGAAAGTTATCTCGTGAACAGTACCTACTTAAAGATCATGAGGATGAAAACGTAAGAAGTTATTTTATGACTAAGAAATTGCCTTTGAAAAATAATTATATTTTCGAGGAGGCATGATCAATTATAAATTGGATCGTCCAAAAGCGTCTGTTGCACATTCAAACAGTGCTTTTTAAGACCCAAAGACCGAATTTACATATAGATACATTTATTCAATGATAAAATCATAAAACGTTGTGTAAGAATCATACACAGTCTAATAAGTATATGTTTTGGGTTTGAGATTTTGGTTGCAGACTGAGAAACTTTAGATTTTTTATTAAAGCAATTTTGTCCAACAAGATGCCCGGATGGTACAGCTAAACGACGCCATGAAGGACGGTTTGTCCGATCTAGAGCGATTAAGAGATCTTAAGATGCATGCTCGACGTGTCCTGATGGAGCTTTATGTCGGGATAGAGAACAAGGTCATCCAGAAGAAAGTAGACAGGTACAAGGTATGAAATTAAAAAGAGAAAGAAGTGTGATAAAAACTCATAACGAAATGTACTACTGTGTAGTAAGAATGTATTTATGAAGCGAAAGATGAAGCAAAGATTGATTAAGTTATGAAGGATAATAAAACACAGAGAATTGGACAGATATAGGTTCAAAATAAAGATTAATTACAATACAAATATAGGATTATTACATATAAAGAGAAATTGGAGGGTAAAAATAAATATCAAGCAAGGTAGAAATTCATAGGGATGTATAAAAATATAAGTAAACTAATAAATGCACAAGAAAAAGTGACAAATGTAAAATTCGTGAAATGAAATGATGGAGAAAACGAACAGTCTTCAAGCTCAGAAGTCCGTTAAACAATACAAATCAGGAGCAGAGTAAACACGGACATCTAAAATATTAGAGATGGGTTTAGGTGTCATGGAGGAGTTCACCATCCTCTACCGAAAAGCTAAACGTGGAAAGTATGAATAATTGAAACATTTGTAATCAATTCATAAGAAAGGGAAAACAGACGGAAGGAGTTGCGGCTCTTGTTCAGTGGTGCACGGTTTTTCATCAGCTCCGACCAAAATGTAGTTTTCAGTTAAATCCAGCTGAGAATGTATGTGGAAAAGGCTTAAAAACTGTCAGAGTATGTAATGGTGTGTTATGATTTAAAAATTCGGAGAGAAATTGCTGAAATATGTGAGTTAAAATTTTGTGTTTGAATTTTATGCTGGGCTAACGTTATGAACATTACTCACGATAACCTGAAAGTGTGATTTGTTAGATGTCCTAAGCCTGTATCCTAAGTTCTAAAATATAAGACATAAAAACCTAGATACTGTTTATGAGATAAATACATTTGGTACCATAAAGTGGTGTGTTCATTATTGCCATTGTGTAGTTGTTGGAAATGGGTGAATCGAACAAAAGAACTCTTCAAGACATGTCAAAATCTTTTGCTGAAGCGACAGCTCGCAGTCCTAAGAAATCAAAGGAGGGATCAATATCTGAAAGCCCTACCACTACCTCACAGGAGCAACAAAACCCATCTCCTATTTTTACTTCAACGCCAACATCGCTATCTACTAATGGCTATGAAAACTTAGATCCACACCTCCAACAATTAAACCCTGGTCTTCAGCACCACTATGTGTTAAATGGTCCATTGACATTATCTCCAGAGGATATTCTAAAAATTGCTGAAGCTGTTAGAGAGGGTAAAACAAGGAAATCTCCTCTATGATTGAAGAAAAAGTTGCCCCACTTCGTGAGGAGCTAGACCATCTACGTAAGGAGAACAACGACATGCGTCGACAAATTGATGAGCTTGAACAGTATGGAAGACGACCGCTCATCCGAGTATCAGGAATTCCGGAAACAGAGGGGGAAAATACCAGTGTGAAACTCCTTAAGACTACCTCAATGGCAGGAATAGAGCTTTCTCAAGATGATATCGTTAACTCGCACAGAGTTGGAAACCCCAAAAAGCAACGACCAGGTCCGCGCCAAATTATAGCTCGCTTGAAATCTGTTGACACTAAATTTCATGTACTTAGAAACTCAAGCAAATTTCGCGAAAACGAGGAAACCATGCAAATTTCGGTCAACGAGGATTTGACAAAATTTCGCGACAGACTGCTCTTTCTGTGCCGACAACTGTGCCGAAAAAATCACCTTAAAAGTGCCCGATCCTCTAATGGAAAAATCACTGTCAAAGACAATCGCGATAAGTACCATCACATCAGAGACGAATCAGACTTAGTCAAATTCGGACATGAAATTCAGGAGGCTGTGTAGGTGTTTTTTCCCTCAAAATCCTCTAATGACAAATTTTCAACCCTTTTTGACAAGTTTTTCAATATGACCTTAAAAATTAAATGTCAATCATAACAAAAGCTACAATCTAATCTATTGTTTTAATGATCCAGATTATACCAACATTATCCACAACTTCTCAATTCCCTATACCCTCTGCATTTTTTGCATCTCTTGTTTATTCAATGTATATACATTTTGGTCTCTTTGAATATGCACTCCGCAACTTGTTTTCGTGAAGATACCATTTCTACTGATGTGTACCTTTACAGTTTTACCACAATGTTAAACCTTTTCAACACAATTACACAATTTTTGTGTTCTTTTATTCACAAAAGTATACAGTATATTACTATTCACGTTATCTCTATGTACATATTCGCTTTCCATTTGTTTTTCCTGTTTATTTTGTGTTTACGTTACATGTATCCTTTCTATTATTTTTTTGTTAACTTTTTGAACTATGCATTATATCCAAACTTTCTTAGTCATGCAAACAAATATGTGTATTCAACTACTGTAGTTTTTGAATGTGTCATAAATTTAGCAGCTACCGATTGCAGCTTTTTGTTTAAAATATACTTTTGTCACAAGGTAGATAATGGGTAACTCCATTGAACAATATCGTGCTGCAATCGGTCTTTTTTATTTATCTGGCAGATGTACATCAAAAACCTGTTTATGGTCGTTTTTTCCATGCGCATGTTTTTTGCAACTAATGAAAAATGTTTTTAGAATACTTGCTCATTGCTTGACATCCATTACCCTAAAATCTGTGTACATCAACTTTTATTTACAATTTTTCACATTTGTTCTATTGGCATGTGGTGATATTGAGGTCAATCCAGGCCCGATTGAAAATGTCCTTGACATTCTACACCTTAATATTCGTAGTATTAGACACAAATTAGATCACTTAAACTCTTTCGTTCATGACTTCGATATTTTATGTTTTACTGAAACCCATCTTGACCAAACGGTAAATAATGATGACTTATATTTGGATGGGTTTTGTAATATAATACGAAAAGATAGGAATTGTTTCGGGGGAGGTGTCATGATCTATTTTTCTAGTCAAATACGTGTTATTAGACACTATGATTTTGAACCCTCTGACATTGAATGTATTTGTATTGAAATTGATAATCATACCTCTAAAATCTTTTTGTGCTGTGTATATCGTCCTCCGAACTCGGATAGTGGTTTTTGGACCAAACTTGCATGGTGTGTTGACAAAATGAGTGAAAAATCGGATAAAATAATATTAGTCGGTGATATTAATGTTGATCTCCTTAATACTCCACAAACACATATCATCCATGAAATTATCTCAACACATAACCTTGTTAATAATATCCACGAACCTACAAGAATTACACACACGTCGAGCACGCTCCTTGACCCAATTTTCACTTCAGTTGATATCCAAGTTCGTGAATCGGGTACATTAGTAATGGACTCTTCCATAAGTGATCACAGAGCTACCTATTTAACGCTTTCTTCTAACATAAATTACAATCGATCTTACAAAAGAAAAATTTGGGCTTATAAAATAGCTGACTTTGTTAAACTAAATTCTTTAATTGAAAATTGTGATTGGAATAAAAATATAAACGAGGCTCAGTCAGTAGATATAGCAACGGAAAATTTTACATCTGAATATCTTGCGTGTGTTCGCGAATGTGTTCCTGAACAAACGGTAACCATACGTCCTCGCGACAAACCATGGTTTGATTCACTTCTAAGGAAAACAATGAGAACTAGAAATCGACTTCATAAGAAAGCACACAAAACTAAAAAAGATTCCGATTTTGCCGCATACAGAGAGGTCCGAAATTCAGTAAACAATATGAAAAAATATGCAATAACAAATTATTACGACAATATTGATACATCTTTAGAGGATTCAAGCAAAAATAACAACAAACTTTATTGGAAGTTAATGAAAGACACATTCAACATGAAAATGTCCAACGAAATCCCACCAGTCCAAATACATAATGATAACGGCGAAAAATACTTTGATTATTCTGATATCGATAAGATTGAAGAATAAATTCATATTTTTCTTCCATTTCGACAATTGACGACTTAAATGAAACATTACCAAACATGTACAGTTTGTGTAGCGACACATTCAGTAATATTGTCATTGAGGAAAAAGAAGTAATTGACATTATATCAATTCTTAATGTGAACAAAGCCATAGGTCCTGACTGTATTAGTCACAAAATGTTAAAATCCACTATTTATACTGTTGCTAAACCACTTACACTGCTGTTTAATAGGTCCCTATCAGAAAAAAGTTTCCGGTTTTTTGGAAAACTGCTCATGTTATTCCTTTGTTTAAAAACGATGACCCCTCCTTAGTTTCTAATTATAGACCTGTGTCGTTATTATCTTGTGTTAGTAAAATTATGGAGAGAATTATTTTCAAACATATGTACAATTATTTCCATTATAACAATTTATTTTATCGATATCAGGCGGGTTTTTTACCAGGTCATTCAACTGTTTACCAATTACTAGAAACGTATCATAGTATTGTTAAAAGTATTGATGAAGGTAAATCATGTTGTATGGTCTTCTGCGATCTTTCAAAAGCTTTTGACAGAGTTTGGCATAAAGGACTTCTTTTTAAATTACAAACTTACGGTATATCGGGTGATCTTCTGCAGTGGTTTTCTAGTTATTTGTGTAAAAGGTCACAAAAAGTTATGTATAAAGATCTGTTATCATCAAAACTAGATATTTTTTGCAGGTGTACCCCAAGGTTCCGTTTTAGGACCCCTTTTATTTCTGATATATGTAAATGATGTTGCTGTAAATATGTTAACATTGTGTAGACTTTTTGCTGATGACAATTCGCTTCAACATTCTTCATACAACATACTTGATATTGAATATAATTTAAATCATGATTTAAATTTACTGGAACTTTGGTCAAATCAGTGGCTTCTAAAATTCAACCCTTCCAAAACGAAAGTTATTTTTTTCAATAAGAAAAATATTTCTGTTATGCCTAAATTATTTTTTAAAGGTGACAGATTGGAGTGTGTCCCTGTTCATCGTCATTTAGGTCTATTGTTATCACAAAACCTTAGCTGGACAGAATACATAGATAGCATTGTAAACAATGCTTATAAGAAACTTGGGCTTTTGAAAAAACTTAAATTTAAAATCGGCAGGACACATCTTTCAAAATTGTATGTCACATTTATCAGACCCTCGCTCGAATACGCTTCAATTGTTTGGGATGGCTGCTCTAATAATGATGCCGAAAAGCTTGAAAGAGTTCAATTATCTGCAGCTAGAATTGTTACAGGACTTCCAATTTTTGTGTCAAGAGAAATACTTTACTCTGAAACTGGCTGGGAAACATTGAAAGTTAGGCGCTATAATGCAAAAATGACCACGATGTACAAAATTCATAATGGTAGTGTACCTGAATATTTGAATGACATTGTTCCAAGCAAGCGCGAAAGCATTTCAAAATATAATACCCGTAATAAGGAACAATACGCTGCCCCAAGATGCAGATTAGAATTATATAAAAGATCTTTTATTCCTGACGCTGTGAAACATTGGAATTTATTAAAGACAGAAACAAGGGAAGCTATCTCACTCAATGCGTTTCGAAAAAACTTAACTACAGAAGTAAAAAATCCCCCAATCTATTTTTCATTTGGCAAACGTTATACAAATATAATCCATACTAAACTTAGACACAACTGTATACTTAATTATGATTTACACAAAAGAAATATTATTAATAGCCCTTTATGTTCATGTGGAAAGTATGAAGATGTTTATCATTTCTTTTTTGCCTGCAGAAATTATCCAAACGCTAGGAATAATCTTTTTAATCGCCTATTTTTACTTGACGAATTGGTTAATATTGACACAAATTTGTTATTATGTGGTGATGTAAATTTGCCTGTAGAAACAAACACGTATATTTTTGCTGCTGTGCATAAATTTATTGAGGAATCTTGTAGATTTTAAATTGTTATATTTCTGAACAAATATTTCACTTGCATCTCTTTTGTATTTATATCTCAATGTACTACATGTATTTTAATTGCATGACATATAGTTATATTTAAGGAGAGGAACTCGTAAGTTGAAAGAACTTGTTTCCAATCCTTTTGTTTATACAATAAAATATGTTCAAAACAAAACATAAGAAAGGGAAAACAGACAAATAGAGTAAAAATGCAAAAAATGAAAGAGATGTTATGTTAATTAATCATATTTTTGGTCAAATCAATTTATCTTCCTAATAAATAGAGGAATTTGATTGAATGAGCACGTTTCTTATATTTAAAAGAAATGTCGATGTACTCAAAGTCTAAAGGTAGCCTTGATGCAGTAAACAATTTTGATTATTTAAAACAAATGAAAATAGAAAAAAAGATAAAAAAAAATATTTGATCAAAGAACCATGTAATTTTCGAAATACCTTTAAAAACATTTTTTCTTAGATGACTAAGTGTATATTTTTTAATCCATTGTAGGACTTTGAGAATAGTATCAGAAGGTATATAAATGAATCACAGACTTTGGCGAAATCTGCATATATGGACCTTAGATTTGCCCAGCGGAATTTCATGGTAAGTACTTTGCCAACGTCAATATGTAAAAAGATGACTTAGATACGTCTGACATATTGTCAATGTTTGTAATCCTTTAACTTTATCCGTTTGTAAGTTACAGAGAGTCAGTCTAAAGCCATAAAAATATTGTGTAAGTAATTTATTTTATCCTGGAAGCCCAGATTAGATTTTTCTCACTTTGGGGAAAAAAAGAAAAAAATCGTAAAATGGAACAAATTTGGCTACAGATGATACTTCAAAGAAAACGTACTGACCTGTTTAATACGGTAAAATCAAGAAACCTCTGTTTCTGTTGAAGGATAATGTAGGTCTGAGTAAGAGTATAAAACAGGGACGAGGAGGCAGCAATCAGACTTCTGTAATACATGTAAATACCAAAGGCCGTAATACGGACGTTAGGACGCTGGTCAACATGGCTTATTCTATGGCACGGAATCTGCAGAAATCTGAAGAACTACTTAACAGGTGACGCATTTTAATGATAAATTTCTAGCACAGATAATTATTTTAATTATTATTTTTAAAATAAAAAGAAAATTCTATAAATTAACACATATGTATTTAGTATTCTGGAGATTTTTTTAATATTCAATTGTATGTATATTATATATAATGTGTACATTGTATATCAATCATGTAAAATATTCAAAATCATGCACACTTTTTCAAATAAACAGAGCTTCGTCGTAAAATCAAACGACATGCTGAACATATTTCAGATTTCATTAGATTAAAGATATTTCATACTTGTCTGGGACATATTTCACACTTTTTTGTAAACAAATGTCCAACATATTCATGGCTCGTGGTACACACCTGTGGAATAAATATTTATTTTATTCACTGTGTCTGCCATATTCTGGTGTTCATATCAGAAATACTAGATCGAGAGCAACAATTGTACAATTTTTAAAATTAGGTATGGTTTCTTTCAGAACCATAATACCTGTACTGTTAAAAGCTAAAAACATTACACAAGGAGATGGAACATTGCTTTTAAAGGTCGAGACGCAACAGATTGGTGCAAGATTAAAATCTTATGTATTGGTGAGTATATGACCCTGAAAGGTTTGAAACAGTTATCTATCTTCGACTGAACATTCTTGCTTGTGTTCTTAATGTTAGTAAGCAATGTATATGAACCTGAAAGGTTTGAAACAGTTATCTATCTTCGACTGAACATTCTTGCTTGTGTTTTTAATGTTAGTAAGCAATGTAACAAACGGATTTTGATTCAAGCAGATCAAATTTAAAGTAATTCTCAAAAACATAATTATGAAATGACGAAAGGTGAACATTACAAATATAGTCCTTGTCCATTTAATTACCTGTCAACATATCATGGTCGTAATTCTTTCTCTTGTGTAGAAAATAGATAGAGTGCTGGATCATCTCAGAAAAATGCTGAGCGATGAAGCCATTATTGAAGAGCGATGTCATAATATTCTTGCTTTGAAAGAATATGATAAAAAGACGAGTGTTCTTGATTGTACTGCATATATTGATGGTGAGTCGAGTTTTATGTAATAAAGTTCTGATGTTGGCTAAACAAAATGAAGTATAAAATGGCTAACAAGGTATTTATTCCAATTTTAAATTAATGTTATAGATCAATATTTTCAACAAATATACTTGTATTAAGTACTTCTAATACCAAAAGTATAAGCATTTATAAATTAATTATGAGATCTAGACTTCTGGTTAAATTTATTTTGGATACATTCCCCTGTAATATCGTGTCCGAAGTATGCACCAATTGTTACTTTATTTGTTTTATTATTATCCCTTCGTAAAACGCAATTTTAAATTCAAATTTAGCTGCAGAACTAGTTCTCAGTATGAGAAAAATTCACGCAAGGCAAATGTGTGGTTTGTATGTCCAAATTTTCCTAACCAGCAAATACATTTCTGTAACACATTTCTACCTGTGCTCGGCATTTGCAGCCCTTGACCAGTAAGGGTTGTTTTTGCAAGCACCTACAAGTACTGCAACATTATAGGACCTTGGTTTATACGGTCTTTTTCGAAGGACTTATCTTAAAGTTACAGGTGAATTGGAACCCACGACGTAAGGAAAAAAAAACCCTACTCTAGAACAAACGCTCTAATTATTGCGTCACGCGGGCGAACATGATTATTTGGCAAATAATTCCAATGCAAATTCAAATTACTTTTATTTACTTTATTTTAGCTGACTTTTTATTGATAAAAAAGTAATAATATTAACCTTTTTTAAATTTCGGTCGTAAAAATAATATATTTGATAAACTAGAGACAATATTAATGTCAAGGACAGAATTTCTTTTTATAAAAGAATTTTACAAATGCATCAGTGTTACCAATATATTTAAAAAAAATATTCTCTATCTTACAGACAGCAATGTTGAGAGCGGTAGTGGTTCTGGTGAGATAGATATCATTGAACCTGATTCCTCCCCAATACCCTCTGTTCTGCCTCAAAAGAATGATACCTCGGAAAAAGTGACGGTCTCGACAGATGATTTCATTTTTATTGATGATGATAATGTAACACTTAAGCCGTTAAAACCAGAAGCAACTACCCTTAGTCCGACGACCACTTCTTCAACTACTACTACAACTGAAAAATCAGGAGGTTTCCTTTTTAATTTCTTTGGAGGGAAAACAACGGCATCTCCAACAACTACCACAACTACGTCTTTATCAACTTCTCAACTGACTAGTACAACAAAGACTACCTCTACAGAAGTCACAACATCAACCACAGTGAAGCCTATGACCGCAATTATCACAAAGAAACCATCAACATCAACTTCAACTACCACCACTCCTACAACAACTACCACCACTCCCTCAACAACTACCACTACTTCTCCTTCAACCACAACCACAACTACCACTCCATCAACCACAACTTCCACAACACCTTCAACATCAACTACCACTTCCACAACTACTACCACTCCTTCAACCACAACTACCACCACTCCCACAACCACAACTTCCACAACACCTTCAACAACTACCACTTCAACAACTACTACCACTCCTACAACCACATCTACCACTCCCATGACCACAACTACCACCACTCCTTCAACCACAAATACCACTCCTTTAACAACTACCACTACTCCTACAACCACAACAACATCTTCAGCAACCACGATAGCAACCAGTACAACACCGTCAACCTCAATTCATACAACCCCTAAAACCACACCAATATCGAAAACAACGACATCCGTTTTGCTTGACATATCAGGAAGTGGTAGTGGTGATGTTGATGATACAGAGCCTGAAGAAGAATTGCATCCGACAAAATCACTACCAACAGCTACTGAACGTATACTGATTGATGAAAATGATAATGAAGGCATTTTTATTGAAAAACATGACAAAGAGATAATCTCTACCACCACGGAAATACCAACCACCACAAAAAAGAAATCATGGTGGGGCTGGCCATTAGATGATCCAACGCTGGATTTCCAAATAGATTTAGTAAAGAAATTTATTTGTTACTTTTTCTCAAGATTTTTCATAATTTTGGAATGTTTGTTTTAAGGTAGGATTCTTCTCTGGTTTCTGACTAGATGAAACATTCAAAGTATATCTAAGGAATCACTGTCTAATTATCCCATGTTTCCCACTTTCGTTGATGCCCTGGCATACTATACTAACTAGACAGTGATTCCTTATATTTCCATTTCATTGTGAAATAAAATAGTAGATTTAGACTTTTAAAAATGTAGACATAGACTTAAATTAAAAGAGGACTTCCGTGCCAATTTCAATAGTCCTCGCCCACTGACGTCAAACACATAGGCAGCCGCACGAGATTTACATGCATATTTGGCCTCCTCAGCGTCAGACACAGAGACAGATGCGCACGAGATTTGCATGTATATTAGGCCTCCTTAGCTCCTGACCTATCGACCTGCCTAATTTACATTCCGGCAGAATTATCAAGAAATAAACTCCGACAACTTTCATGGAGTTATCACAGAGAAAAAAATTAGAAATGGAAATATTTGCTAATATATCTTATATATTTAGATGTAAAGGATTTAAAAGACCATATTTTTCTTTCCTCATCACAATTATACAACTTTAAATAGAAATCGTAAACTGGTTTTGAAAACTAGCAGGGACTATATTTTTGGCGGGATGGTGGCGTATGAAAATGTCTGTTTTTCTGCCTCTCAAAATTATATAAGAGCAATTAATTTAGTTATATTTTTTATATAATCAAAGACTTGAAGAAATTTTCAAATCTAAGTTAAATTAATGATAAAGGACTAAACTTTTAAAATATATAAAATAAATATGATTTTTCAGACAAACTAGAATTATGTTAGCTTTTAAACTCTTCCAATTAAAGTACAGATTTGAGCCAAAAATCCATAAAAAGTATTTTTTCTCTCTTAGTAAAAGATCAAAACTTTTTGTTTTTGTATCATTTTGTATATTTATAAGACTTCTTTATCATATGTGAAAATAAGAAAAAGTTAAATATAGAAAGCATATGAAAATAACTAATATATCTTAAAAAAATTAAGAAAAACAGAGAAAATTCGGATTAGCCAATATCAAGTTTAGTTAAATTATTTATGAAATTTTGGTAATATCAAGCTATAGACCCGATATAGGAATATCTTTTTATGCGAAATGATCAGTCTTAAACTTTCGAAATAGAAGTAGGCATCACATAATTTTGCAACAGTATTTTTTATTCATAAAATGTCAGTGAAAAAGATAATGACCTTCACCTGACCTTGCCTCTCATATAACACGGTCAAATTTAATTTTACTGATACTATAACTTACTGATGTTGTCTTTTTGATTCTGTGAAAATTTATTTGATATTTAGATACAAGAAATATGAGAAGAATCCTACCTTAAGAATGTCTTGTTTTCATAATAAGATGCATCTTTTTCATTTGACAGGGGATAAATTGGCTCAAAGAACACACATTTATAAATCAAAAGCTGTTGATTTGTTTGAAAACTCAACAAGTCTTCGGAATCGAATAGCAGGTAAGACTAAGCATTTTTAACAATAATTATGTTTTTGCAAGGCAATTCTTATAAATTATTACCAAGAAGAGTGGTACGGTTTAATATTTAATTCTCATAAAATTGTTGATGAATATAGGATTTTCGTTTAAAGTAATCAATAAAATGGTTTCTATTTGTTTCAGAGATTAACCAGAGGAACACAGTTTTTGTTTTGCGAAAGAACAATATGGAATTATTCGTATCCAATTTAACAGAGGTCTCAAATCTTTGGAATGCGACCAAAGATACTATTCGAAAATTTAAACCACGAATTCAAAAAATGTCTGAAGTATTTCTAAGTAAAATTGAATTGATTCTGAATAAGTCCAAGGAATTCGGTAAAATTGCTAAAGAAAAACTAGCAGCGTTTGAGGGAGCTTCAGCCATCTCGAAAAATGACAAGTCCAGGAAGACTGCAGAGACTCTAACTGATTTATTGACAAAAGGTATAATTTGCAAGTCAAAACATTGAAATATTTCTTATATTATATACATGATTTCGGTGGTTAAACGTTTTGATATCTGTATGTCTTAGATTTAAAAAAAAAGATCAAATAACACTATGTCTCTTCCTTTTTATAAATACCTTTCTTCAGAGAAGGTTTCGGATTTTAGGGGTTAATATTTTATAAAGAGGTGATAATTGAAAATGATTTTATTTAAATCAATATTCAAAAACTTTTCAATGTAAGTTCCATTTATGTGCTTCTGAATATGCTTTTTACAGGAATAAAATGTTCCTGTTTAACAATTCCAGTAATTTCTTCACAATTTTGTTTTCTAGTATCAGAAACGAAGAATTAAAATAATCCATTTCCTTTTCTTTTTTTAAGATATGAATTGTTATATTTTAATTCTCCACATATTGAGTTTATGAAAATGATTTCAAACGAAAACAGAAAAGAATAAAATCTTAAAACTTACTTTATGTAAGTTCAGTGCTACTTCATAATTTTTGTTTTGTAGTGACAGAAATTAAGAAAAACAGACAAGAAATCAATTCAATTTTGACTACCCATGCCGATCCGTGTTTAAAAATACAAAGAAGTACCGCAAAACTAAGGAATAATATAGCAGAATTAAGAAAAAAGATACAGCGAGCAAAACGAATTTCCAGTGCTATGCCGGTATGTTAATAATCAATATCTCATTTACACATGATTATGTCCTTCTAACAACATCAAGGACATTATAGATATAATATAAGAAAAATGCCAAGAAAATAAATTTAATTTTACTTTGACTTCAATCGTAACATTTTAAGAATATATTTTAATATGTATATGAAAATATATTGGAAAGGCGCCCAGGCTTTCAATGTAAACAATTGTATTAAGTAGATCAAATGCTGTATTATATTTCAGGCCTCTTTATCAATGGACGGAAAAGACTCGTTATCCTTGACTGTCACCTCCACTCCTCTTTACAAGTCACCATTTTCTACGTTTGGATTTTGTATCAAACCAGAGAAGGGTTCCATGGCTATAGCCACTTTACATAATCCGTCATCGGTATGTGTACCGTCAATTACTATCGTTTTAGCTTTTATGTGGCTGCTGGTTAGTTTTATTAATGTAATAAAATTCTGTTATCCTTTTTTTAAAATCTCAAATTATTGTAGAAGTTAAGAACCTGTCGTAGCCGTCTATCTGTCTCTCCTTTCTACTGGTCCATATACATCCTCTGGCATCTATATAATGTAATTATGTGCTTTTGACAGTAGAAAGATACCAAGTGTTGTTCAGGAGATAATGAACAGAATGACAACACATCATTATTTTTTCATCACAAACTTCTTGTAAAATTAAAAAATATTCTTATGGGTCCTTTAAAAAATTTCTGTCCGCTACAGACGATTCAGAGAATTTGTACTGCTTACTTACTCCAGCCGTTCAACAGGCCCTCAATGAATGGTTATCATTCGTTTGGTTGGTTTCTTTTTTCAAGATACTTTTGCTGCAGTGCTATATATAAGGTTTTGTCTGACAAGATTTGAAAGGACCAGCGTTTCAGTTATGAAGAGATAAATGTATGTCATTGTGGTGTAACAATTTCAACCTAAACTAAAGTAATTTAAGAGTCATTCTCTGTAAGGACCACAGATGCCGTTCAAACGAATACCACAGATTTTAATAAAACATATATGAAAAAATTATGAATGTGTATGAGATTAATTAGGTATATTAAAAATTTTGAGATGTGACCTATCCTCCAGGTTATGGCCCCCTAACACATTTTGTGGCTACCCCCATGTTTGAAAAGGTCAGTTTTCTCCTAATTTGACATAAAAAATTCAAAATAAGTAATGAACTATGGTTGGATTAAATGCATTAAATTGTGAAAACAAGGTGTGAAGTAAAGATAAAAAATTATTTTGCTTCATCACTAACACTCCTTTTTATTTTAAAGAAATTTAATTTCCTCCTATTTTTAACCCTTAACCAACACGCTAAATAACCATACTTTCAGTGCCATTTTATAAAAAATCCCAAGATAGGTTTATAAAATATTAACAATATTTTGAAAGCAAACATACTTGATTATTTATTCATAATTATTCTGGATGTGTGTTTTTTGCTTTAAAAAAATAAAATGCATTTCAAAATTTTAAAAAACTAGCATTTCACAAAAATATTATCTCCCTTTGTAGAACTCTCTAGTTCCGACAGCGAAGGAAGGTAAAAACAAAAGTATTTGTAAGCATGACGTTTTGCCGGTTTGGAGTTCCTTTTCACAAGCTATGTGTTTTACTGATATTTTTATACAAAACTGCTTAGATTATACAGTATAGCTTCCTTGGCAGATGTGATATTGTTTATTCTGAAGACATTCAACAACTCGTGAGTTTTAGCAATGGCCATGTATTGTCTAAAGTAGGTCGTATGCCATGTGTTACACTTGCAAAATTATTTAGTAAATACAGTGAACATGGTGAATGACTATCGAATGTGGACGTTATTTTAACTTTTCTTCAAAATAAAATACAAAGAAGTGAAGAAGGAAGTTTTGTCAAATTCCAAGTCTTCTAAGTTCACACCTGCATATTGAAAATACCAGAGGAGATGGACCAAGAATTCCCCTCCAAACAGAACATGTGAAAATGTGAAAGCAGGTCATTTGATTGGTCAAGCTGGTGCAACGCTACCAGTGTTATACACCATGCATGTACACGTAAGTAACTACAATTTCTGATACACAATATAATAATATTTGTTCGTAGAGTTATGAGTAGATGAAATTATTGAAAAAGAATTAAATCGAAATGAATGTAAAAAGGTACAGTCCAAAGACTATACTAAAGCATTTCTGTATCTGTATTGTTACATCACAGTAACCCCGTTGGGCTTTGATGTGACGGATGGAGGGCGCTTAGTCGCGAAGATGTTCTATCGCCGACTTAAAGCTTTCTAGCTTTGGGGCGCGGACTGCTTTCTCTTCCAGGTGGTTCCAGTCAACAGCTGTACGTACAAAGAGTGAATTTTTCAGTTGGTCTGTCTTTGTATCAAGTATCTCAACTGCACGGCTGTTATTCCTGATCCTATTACTTATGATATTCGTCGCTTGATAATTCTCGTACACTTTCGGTCTGATGTTTCTTTTCGGTTTTTGAAATTTTATATATTGGTCTGATTTAATAGCTGGTATCTGCCCCTCAACCACTTTGTAAAAAAAGATAAGACGTTGTTGTTGTCGTCTGGTTTGTAATAAGGGGAGGTCGAGATCTTTAAGCATCTTTGTCATTGTACCCTCTTCCCTTGATTTATAGTCTTTGGTTATGAATCTTGCGCCTCTTCTTTGGATGGATTCTAATTTTGTTGATTCTTGTTTGGTGTATGGATCCCAGATGACAGCTCCATACTCCATTATAGATCTCACTAGTGCTATATATGCAATCTTTCTACATTCCCTTGGACAGTGTTGTAAGTTCCTTCTTAGGAAGCCTAGGGTGGAGTTGGCTTTATTTGAGATGTTGTTTATATGTTCTTTCCATTTCAGGTCTTCTTGTATTTGTAGTCCTAAGTAGGGATTTGATGCCACTTGTTCTAAGGTGTGGTTCTCAAGGGTATATTGGCTGTTTATTTTTCTACGAATGCTTAGTATATAGCATTTTTTTGCGTTAAATCTCATACCCCAGTCAGATGCCCACTGTTCCAGTTTTTGTAGGTCCTTTTGTAGTAGGTTTTGGTCTTTGGGTGATTTAATTTCCCTGTACAAAAGGCAGTCGTCGGCAAAAAGCCTAACTGAAGATTTTACTGCGTCAGGGAGATCATTTATATGGCAGAGAAAAAGTATGGGTCCAAGTACTGTTCCCTGTGGTACCCCGGATTCCACGCTAGTGTAGTCCGAGTATTCCCCATCCAACTGGACTCTCATTGTCCTTTTTGTTAGGAAGTTTGTTAACCAGTCGTGGATTTCTCCCCTTATTCCGTATTGATTGAGTTTGTGTAGGAGTCTATCATGGGGAACAGTGTCGAATGCTTTCGAGAAATCCAATTGCTACGTCTACTTTAACCCTTGTCGTAGGATAGTAACATGTCGTGTATGGTTATAGCGAGTTGGGTTTCGCAGGAATATCCGGACCTGAAGCCGTGGTTCAAGGATGTTAATATTTTGTTGCATTCCAAATGTTTCATCATTTGTCGACATATGATATGCTCTAGTAGCTTGCAGGGTACTGATGTTAAGGAGACTGGTCTGTAGTTTTCAGCTGCGTGTCTATCCCCTTTTTTGAAGATACACGATATGTTTGCGCTGAGCCAGTCTTTTGGTAATTCCCCTGTATCTAGTGATTTTTGGTATATAATCGACAATATTGGTGCTATTTGGTCTGCACATTGTTTCAGGACTCTATTTGGGATGTTATCGGGTCCGGCTGCTTTTGATGGATTGATGTTTTTAAGCAGTTTTGCCACGCCTTCTTCTCTGATGGTGATTCTTTTTATTCCTGTTTTTAGGTTGATGTTCGTCGGGGGCATTGTATTTACTTTCTCCTTTGTGAAGACTGATGAAAATTGTCTTAGAAGGATCTTTGCTTTTTCCTTGCTGTCATTGATTAAATGCCCTTGATCTTTTAGGGGTGCTACTCCGATGTTATCTTGTTTGCGAGATTTAACATATTTCCAGAATGGTTTAGAGTTGTTCTTTTCCATGCCTTCCAGGATTGCTGTATTTATGTAGTTCCATTCTGCTTTCCTGATTTGTCTTTTGCATTCTTTTTGGTGGTGTTTATAGTTTGTCCATGACCCTGTTCTTTTTGCTTGGTTATACAGGTTTTGTTTCTTCTTGATCATCTTTTTGATTTTATGGTTGATCCATGGGAGCTTATTGTTGGATTTTATCATTTTTGTTGGTACGTTCTTTTTTTTTTTTTTTTTTTTTTTTTTTTCTACCTATTTTTCTATCTACATGTGTAGGTCTTAGAAGTGGGTAAAATAGCTACTTTGGGTAGCTTTAACCTACATACATGTACATTGTAGCTATTAATAGCTATGTGGGTAGAATAAGAAATAATCTTTGGACTTGACCTTGTAAATTTCATTTTCCTTGTTTATCTTGAACACTCTATAATGATGTATGCATTTAAAGTTTAACAAGATATTAATTAAAAAGTTTCTCCAATTTGAATTATTGTACACAGTTATTTATTTTAGATCTGTCAACATACAAAACTAAATAAAAAGTACCGTTAAATATGTGGTGAATGGCAAAAAAAATTAACGACTCATTCTTATATAATTGTGCTTTAATTAGTACCTGTAAGGAATTGAATTATTTTTATGAAAATATACAATTTATTGTAGCATTCTGCTGTGTGACCAAGTGAGGGGCATCACAAGGAAGGGGAAGATATTTAGATCATTCATGGAGCCTTCAACATCATATTAAAACCAAATTATAAAGAGGTATAGTGTCCATGTACTATAATTTTGACCCAATAGCCTTGACTTCTATATCTTTCAAGAAATTAGACATTGGTAATAAATTTTGAAGGATAGAGGATACAGCTTTCATGTTCCATATATACATTAACTACTATTATTGACCCACTTTTCAAGGCATGTAAACGTTCTTCTGTGATGTTCCAATTTCTACCCATCTGAAATCATCCTAATTATTCTATACAAATATTTTTTACTTCAAATTCAATTTTTGTGCAACTTTGAATAAGAAATTTAAAAAAAACTACACTGTAAAACTTATTCATTTTATTCATTAAAACATGACCCAAGTTGTTATTTTCAAAAATTTTGACAAGAGTTTCTACCACTTTCCTTAAGAAACCTCTCTACACTGAACACTAAAGAGTTACGATTCTGTTCTATTTATCTGCCCTTAGATTTAAATGCCAATAAATATACATTTACACTATATTACTCAGTTTATAATCAAATCAAGTATTCTTAACATTTTAAAAGGGCAAGATAGTTTAAATTCTAAATTATAAACATGTTGTTTACATGTATCTTCTCCATAGAAGTAAATAGCAATTATTTCTACTGATACTGTGTTGTGTTTGAACATTTTTTTCCTGGGGTTAAATGCCATGTATCATGTATTGAAAATGAAATAGAGAAGCTTATTATTTACATCTTTATTCAATATAATTTTCGCAAATTCCAAAAATCATTTTACACTGGTGTAGAGAGGATGTATGACCTGTACAAGTGTAACTGTTTTCATGATCCAATTGGTTCCTTTAATCATTTTTAGCTCTACTGGTCAAAGACCAGAAGAGCTTATGCGATAGTAATGTGTCCGTCGTCTGTTTGTCTGTCTGTATGTCTGTCCGTCTGTAAACAGTTTTTCAAAATGCTACTCCTCCTACAGTTTTGGTCTGATTTCAATATAACTTGGCACACAAGTAAACTACAATAAGATAAATAATTCTGTGTATCTGTTTTTGTCATTATTCTATTGATTGCTTTTGTAAATGTCCCAACTGCTAGTTTTCTCTTTCTTTATTATAAGTACAAACCAGTAGAGCTACAGTCTTGACAGAGATTTCTGGTTAACTTAAGTCTTGTATTATCTACCTGGTAAATCTAAATACTTGTATTGTCTATTACAGAACTCAAGAAGCCAGAGTTTTACATTCAGTCATGACCAGTCATGACATTCAGCAAATGAATGAGTATCTGATGAAAATTAGTGAGAGTTTTCAGAGAATGGGAGATACCGTCGGGACACCTTCACTAAGCCTGCTAAATTATACTACAACAATATAATGACAAACATTGCTGTTATTCCCAAAGAACATCAAAGAAATAGTGAAATCTTACAGTATCTGAAGAAAATCCTAGTCTTGCCTAGTATTATACCTGAGGGAAGTTTTGACCACTTATCCTGAAGTTATTCATGCATAATAACATGGGTCCACTATGCACTACTATGAATATGCTTCAAATAATTAAAAAAAAAAGAATTTAATAATGTACATTCTTAAATAAAAGATAAAAAGTGTATAAACAGTAGTCTCATTGCATGTAAAATGATAATTCCATCCTTTGTTACAATTATTGAATTTTTATAAAATTGACAAAAAAATTAAAGAAATCTATGTCAAAAGTGTCTATTATTATTTTCAAGGCTTAAGGATAACGTTTACTTGGATGACAAAAATATTAACTGATAAAAGTGAAAAACCACCTATTGTACATCTATGTAATTATTCACTTAAGTATGTCATTGCCCTACTATTCCTGCTAATGGCTCTTGGGTATTTCATAGAAAATATATAATTATTTTTCACAATATGACCAACATTTCGCTAAAATTTCCACTTATACGGTATTTCATAGAAAATATATAATTATTTTTCACAATATGACCCCCCCCCCCCCCCCCTAATATTTTGCCAATATATAGAATTCTATAATAAACATAGCTACTCTATGCTTGTGCCCCCTCAGAAAATACGTCTAATGATCTTTTGTCCTTATTTTGCTTTCTAGAAATTTTTGGTAGTTTTCACTGAGAATGTATGGTTGTGCCCCCCCCCCCCTCTTCCAACTGAAATTGCCTCTTACGAGCCTGCAATCAAGTTGAAAATCTGAATGACAGGAACTCTTATTACTTACATGTATGGCCTCATTTTACTTTTGTTGTCCTTATTCTGCTGGTATTATAATTTTATGAGCTCAATAATCAAATTATTGAGATATGTTGCTGTGAATGGTTTGTGTTCAACAGTATACATACATATTTTTGAAATTCTTCATTGTGTATCAATCAATTACAAGTATATGAAATAATGTTTGAGCTTTAATATAAATTGATAATTGAAAAAGTTATTTAAAAAAAAATAATTAGCCCGAACTTTCTCTGCACACCATAATCTTTTATATTTTCTTTGAAAAAATAATAATAAATAATAATCTTTTAATTTTCAGATTTATTTTCAGTTATCAATTTATTATTTAGTCCATTTAAACCATTTTGGATTAAACATGTTGTACTTTATAGAAATCCTGACTTAAGGTCATCCAGTCAATTCCTGAAAATGTGGAGAAGCAATTATACTACATGTATATATATTCTTCAGTTAACTTTGAACTCTTGACCTTAGCCTTACGTTGTGATAGAGTTAATAAATTAACTTTTCATCGACTCTTTTTTTTCAGCTAAATTTGTAACAAATACGTTTAATAGCTGAAGAAGATAAAATTTGAGTCATAGAACAGGTGTCATTAATCCCCAGCCTTTTCCTCATTTAAAAAAAAAGGGGGGGGGTAAAATGAAATATCTGTGTATTACTTTTATATCTTAAATATATCTAAATTTCATTTAAAGAATTGATTAGTAGCATGATTAATATACACGTCAGTATTGTTAAAATTTAGCCACAAAAGTGATTTTGAACCGATAAAAACATGAAATGAAAAAAAATCCCATGAGCCCTGTTAACCACTGCTATGTTGCTATCCGCCCCTAAAATGATACATTTTCATTCATTTTTATCATTTAATTCTCTGTTAAGGTTGTTTTACATAAACAATGTCCTCAAAAGAGAAAAACAAACTCTACAAAATATACCATATACAATGTATAATTAACGCAGTTTTCCAATCCATATCTGAGGAAATTCGGGATTATGGGTTATTTTCATTTTGATATTTCCCGAGTTATCTGAAAAACACATGTTTGGAATCTATATGAAATGAAAGACTATAGTATAGATATTTGGAATAAACAAGAAGTTTAAAAAACCTATCTTGGAATTTAAAGATAAATGTAATTGAAATAGAGGGTAAAATGGATTTTTCTGCATTTTGAAAAAATCATGAAATTTGATATTTTTAACCTTCTATCAGCCTGAAACGCCTCAGGCAAAAGATTTAATTCTTAATTATTTTAATTAAATAAGAATGTATAAAATAAATTATATAATTGAAAGTGGTAATATTTTTCGTGTTTAAAGGAAATATCGGGGTTAAAAATGCTATATTTCATGAAATAGAACCTGTCAAAATGGCCATATTTGTGTTAGTTACGGTTGCCATGGCAACGGACACCCCGAAACATGAACTAAGGTGGTTTTCTCAGTTAGACACCTGAGTACACTCTAAATACAAAAAATTACGTATTTCGGAGACATTCGTTTTTACGGCCTCCTTGGATTCTTTGGTTTTTACAGAGAATGACTCTTAAAGATATATATGACTTTACGCCGAGATAAGCGAAGCAGTATAACAGAAATATTTTGTTGCGATCTAATTTTTTTAAATCGAAAATCTTAAGATCGGTTTAATATCTTGAACATTTATTGTACTTAAATTTTGTGAAAAAAAAGAAGAAAATAAAAGTGAAGATACTAAAACACAATGGTCATTTTTTTTTAAATACAAACAAACTTTTGAACAGTGCATAAAAATACGGACCCTTAGAAATCCAGAGATGAGATCAGATGCTTCGAAGGAGTAAGTCTCCCCTGTCGACGGGTCATCTCGCTGTGAGTCTTAAGTATTGATCAGGTGGATAGAATATTCCATGGTCAAATGCATTATAAAACAAAGACCTAACAACGGTTTAAAAATGTCAACAGGCAGAAGTACGATCGAAATATACGTTATATTTGCTATATGCAAGGTCATTTTAAAGACAGAGAATTTACTAAATATTAAATTTAAATGAGATTTTTGAAATCCTTGTTACTACAACTTATTTTTCAGAGCTTGCGTCGGTTTTAAAATTGATCTCACCCACAGATTGCCTTTGAGTATCAAATAAGTTGGGAAACTTAATCCTCATATAATCCAGGTGATAGAGGAATACTACTTTATAAATAAGGAATGGTAATGCCGACTCATCTCCGGTAGTCAGGAAAATTGATTATAATATATCAAAAGAATTAACATCGAACATTTTATCAGTGTTGCAATCATTTCAAAATGTGTCCTAAGCAATTAAATATAGAATATCTGGTAATGTTTTGACCATAGCCGAAATTTTTGTCTCTTATTTTGATAACTTTGATTTTTCACACGTTGTGTGTATCCGGAATGTGCGTGTTTGTCTTAATTAAAGGCTTCAGGAACATAGGATAAGGTGGTTTTCAAAATATTCACAGATGAACGATGAGACGGTTCAAATTTTTTTTTTAATTGAAATTGAAATCAACAACTGCAATTATAATTTAAACTATTGGTTATGAACTTCATTATTATAGACCAGTTGGGTTGTGGAACTCGAAGAACGAAAGCCAAAAATAACTTTCTTTGGTTCAGATGGACAGAAAACAGGACAGCTCAAGTCCCAGACAGAAGTGGAACTTGGAAAATGGATCGACTTGAAAATTTTTAGGCAAGTTTTATTTTATGGTTTAACAATTATCTAAGTTCTCAAACTGAGCTTTATCTAATAGTTCTTTAAGCAAACTTTACGAAGATCATGCGCTTTCTTTGAAAATATCAGAAAACGTTTCGCTACTTTATTATACAGTGTATATATCTTCATTTTAATTGACATAAAGTACAAAGAAATATTTTGTCGGGCTATATGTGATATTAAATTACCATGAATTTTGAGTCCAGTGTACCAAAAAAAACACACCTGCAAAATAATAAAAAAAATTTGGAACGTTGTTTATATAAATAAATTACAGTTTCCAACCAAAACTAATCTAAATTTTGTAACAATGTCTAAATATAAGAGACTTGGAGTAAATAATTGAGATGATTTTATCAGAGTTATCACAGGGAACTGAATTTTGTTCACTGACCATGTTCATTTCATTGTGAAATTTTATTAATATTTTTGACATTTTATCCGAATAGAATTTCTGTTGCTGTAGAGTATCAGTCAACGTAATAAAAAAAAATGCCTTTCCTGCCCTTTCTGTCATTTCATTGATTGTATAACTATTCTTAGCCCACTCAATCGTATTAATGTTATGAAACTATACAGTTTGACTTGGCATGTACACCCCTTTAGAACTTCATGTGACCTGCATATTTTATTCTCATGAAATAATACTTAATTTACAGTATTCAAGTCGTTTCTGTGCAAGTTCTTTCTCCTGTAATGGTTGGAAATTTTGCAAAGTCAAAATTCAATATTTTAAACAAAATCCAATTTCCTATCTTTTATGTTGTATTTACGATTTTAATCAAGTCATAGACACTAGTTGAAATAAAATAAATATCACAGGTAAATGTACTACGGGAAAGGAGATGTTTTAACAAAAAGCAACATACACAAGCTGAAAAATTAATAAGCATGGATAATCGTGCATAATTGCTGTAATATTTATTTTTACATACGGTAACTATACCTTAGAAAACACATAACATTATTTGTTTAAACACTATACAAAGTTATCTACTTTGATTATCTTTTGCTATAATTAGTATCAGTGAGTATAATTTAAAACACCTACTTTCAAAACCGGGAAATATATTTTGTCTACCTGAAAATTTGCACGAAAAGACGAATTGCATTACTTGTCACACATCACATCTCACTCTTACCTAATTACGAAGGTGCACGACAAAGATGAAGTTACCATAGGAGCATGACTTAATCAAACATTCTTTTTTTTTTTTTTAATTCAATGAATTTTGAGGTTACTCAGTTCTATTATATGGCATGTTAAACCTTAGCATGTAATGAATAATGTACAAAACTGCGTTATATTTGTCAGTTTTTTTTAGAAATTGATAAATTTCTTGACAATCAAAACTTTGAAAATTTCAATAAAAGAATTATTAATCGCGAATTCATAAAGCATTTAACACACGTAAATAATACTAACAAGTTTAAAAGCAGATAGATTACCCTCAGTGAAATTAAATTCTGAATCAATATTATCAGTATTAAACACAGAGTTATTTCCTGATAATTTCATAAACGCTTTTAAACATAAGTTTACATGATTAATTGGTTTCCGTTTTCCACAAAGATTTTAATTTGACCAAATCGGCTTTCATTTTTCAAATGTATTTCTTGATATAAGGTATTTCTTTGAGTACAATCACGTTGAACTTATGACCTTGGAATTACATAATTATGTTTTTACAAAACTTTGAAATTAGCCATAACTTGCAAATGGTTTCTTCCAGGGCTTTCATATTTCTAATGTGTACTTCTTGTATAAAGACATTTTGAGTACCAAAATGCTCATGACCTTGGAGTTTGACGTTGTTTTTCAAATCATCAATGTCAAAAAGCTGCCCCCGCCTCCGAGCACATAACAAAAAGCATATATTCTTTATCTTTGCCTGTAGGTTTGGTAGTTCCATTCTGTTAAACAGCACAGATTTGGAGACGTCTACATACAAGTTAGAAGCCAAAGCGATTCCAGGGCTTCCTGTGGTTATTGAATCACTGCAGTCAGCAACTGTAGGATTTGCAGAGGTAATTTCTTCAAACTTACATGTATGTTTAAGTTAAAAATGTCATAAAGTTGTTGAAAAAAGAGGCATAAATAAATCTTTATGTTCCTCAATCTCAAAAGGAGTCGAAAAAGGGGTAAATTAAGGGAATTGTACACTCCTCAACCCTTACCTTTCATTCTTTAATCAATGAAACGTAAGAGTTGAGGAGTGTAAAATTCCCTTAATTTACTCCTATTTTCGACTTATTTTAAAATTTGAAGGACATCTGAGATTCACTTATGCCTCTTTTTTTCAACAGTTTTGAAAAAGAACAAATTTGCTTATAAATTGATTTCATTGATTAAATTGTAGACTTTCATTACTAAGCAAGCATCGTTTATGATGTAAATTATCAACAGATAAAACCTGAGTACAAGAACTTATTGAAACGAAAACATTTTATACCAGTAGTTCTGACAACTAACAACTAATAATCGTTAGTATATACATTAAATCTTTTTTGAAATAATATCTGATATAATTATCTTATATAAAAATGGTTAATCAATAAAAATAGGTTTTTTTTATCATAAACTTTATTTTTGGAGAATGAAGAGTATAATATTATATGCAGTTCAAATGAAATTTTGAAAAAGGAGGAAAAAGCAATAAAATTTTTGTACCAGAAGTCATGTAAAAACATACGCGAAGTTAATGCATGTATGTAGACTCCGGCTACAAATGATGTTGTATATTAATAAATATACATTATTTTTCTTTTTTTCAGACTAAGGATAATTTTACCGGCTGTATCGCAGAAGTTACCTTAAATGATGAGAGGATGGGATTACTTGCCTCGAGAATAAAAAAGAAACACTGCACAAGCAATTGGTACGGGAGTTTAATTTCAAAATGATAATTAAATACTTGAGTAACTCCAATGTATAGTATTATATAAGGGTTATATTAATTATAGGTGAATAATTCAAAAACTATCATTCATTCAAAAAATCCAATCGCCTACTCATTTTTAGACAAGAACGTCAATGTTTTACTGAAATTTTGCTTAATATAAATCTGAGTCATTTCCTAATGACGTTTCCTAACTCACGTTTAATGCATGCTTATTGTCAGTCGTTCCTATACAATTATATCTTAAGTTACTTAATGTATGCAAGGGTATTTTCCTTGATCTCAGAGAAGAGAATAAGGGTAACTTACATGTGCAATTATATTTCTACATTAATACTTCTGAAAGAGAATGGAAACTCGGAAATAAAATGCAACCAGCCTCAGAGGGTTTTAATACATAGTTCTGTTTAACGTTCGTCTCATTACATTTTGTCTGAGTAATGTTCGGTTCAGAAGTCGATTATTGTACAATTATGTACATTATTTGAATAAGTTATACACGTTATTATATTTTAAAGATCTAAATTCTCACAGTTTTCTTCAAATTTGATTGGGAAACATAAAACATCAAATTTGTGGAGTGAAGAAAATATTTTACACATAATACCGTATAAGTAGAATTTTTAGCGAGGATTTAATTTTAGCATTATTAGCGAGGGTGCCAAGATCGCTAAAACTGAATATCGCTAAAATTTGATTGCGTTTTATTTCTAACAGCTGATTTGATGTGCACATTAAAATCGCTAAATTAACATCTCGCTAAAAATAAATTACTAGTTTTTAGGGACAAATCGTTAAATTTGCGTCTCGCTAAAATTTCCACTTATACGGTAATAAACATTTATTTTCTAAAAAAAAGATTTGCTGTTCTTGAATTTTAAGTATTTCTGTTTTAGTGTAAATAAGAACAATGCGGCAGCCATGGTGTTTGATGGCACCGGCTTCGTTAGATTCTCAGTAGACATGGTATATCCGCTTTATCCAATCAAAGAAATGGGATTCCACTATAGGACGTACCAAGACAACGGCATCTTATTGCTTCTGAACGATCGTTTACAGGTTCAGTTTACTACGTCTTTGTACAGACTATGTTGAGAACTATATGAATGTGTCATATCCTTCTTTTCTAGAAGTACATATTCGGCACAGATGTAATTTTGAAGGTTATTGATATCTTTTATTAATTTGAGTGACTGGGGATACATTTTCCATTATTTCCTAAACTGTAGATCTAATCTTTATTAATTTGAGTGACTGGGGAAACATTTTTATTTTTACCTAAATAAATAAATCTCAGCGAGGAAAAGGTGCAAGTAAAAAGAAGTACTAGTAATATCCCTTGTTATTTATAAAATGTGGCTTCAGGTATGTTTTTTTGCATTTGAAAAAAGACATTATTAGGAAACCAATTTATTATGGTACTGATCATACAAATTTAATTTTGTTACAATGTTATAGGCATTGCAAGTTTTAGTATCCATCATGGAATGTAGATTACACGTGGAGGCGCGGATCAACAGGGGCACGACTGTCGTCCGTAGCACTTCTGTGGAGTATTGTGATGGAACGCAGAGATTTGTAAAAGTACGTTCAAATTTAAATTGTTTGAGAACATTTAAGTTTGTTTCAAAATTTAAATCGAAAGTATAGAAATTCAAAATGTTAGAAATGTACAGTTTGACACCGGATTTGGACCAATTGCATGAAACAATAAAACAAAATATGATTTTTATTTATTAGTACATTTGGAAATGTAATTCATACGAGGTCTTTCCATCAACTGTTTAAAATATTTCAATATTTACACAAGGAAATGTTTTAATTAACCAATTTTTAAGGATAGGCTCCATGTCCATTCATATATAATTTTGTGAATGGTCAAATTTACATGTGATTTTGAGTTAAAACTTAAACCCTAATGTGATCGTGTACTCTAGTTCAGGAAAAGATTTTTTTTTTTTCTTTTAACAGTTAATATTTGGAGAAAAGATACAAATAAAGACGAGTAACCCGGATGAGGTTTTTCTCCCAGAATCCAGCACACAGGAAATTACACCGTCAATAGATGACGGACTCTATCTGGGAGGTCTAGGATCGCAAAATAAAATGATATCCGGAAAAAATAAGTTAAGGTAATATATTCATAGTTAAACTTCAATCTTCCACATACTTAATCTAATTTTATTTCAGTGTTTACTAGAAGGTTTTTTGTTTTTCTTTAAGTTTTAATGCACCAAAGATTGAAAAATGAGACTTAATACTACTTTTTTTGTAGATCTATCGTTGGTTGCATCTCCAATTTGCAAATAGATAACAAACACTTTCCTTTTTATATGGCTGAAAGCAGTAGAAATGTACATATAGGAAACTGTGATTATAATGTAAGTAGGGATAATTTTTTTTACTAATCATTTTGATAATTTTATATATTGCTTTAGATCTGAACTATAATGTAATTAACCTAAACAATATTTCTCTCTTAATTGATGGACGTGTATTTTTTTTCACTTCAAACTTTAGACATATATCTCACGTGTCATCTCTGCCCTTATTCTTATAGGCATGGTTTAAGTGTGTTCGATTTGATGATAATAGTCAACCAATTGTACTTGAGAAAGGAAGAGATGCTAAGATTGTGTCTTTTGCTGTCACTCGTGATTCAATGGGAAGAGTTCTCAACTATAAAACCAAGGTAACCATTTCTTACGAAGGGACAAAGATAGTTGTAAACCCTATTGGACAATGCTACGAAAATGAAATTTTCCAGGATTCATATAAATATACATTAATTGATCGGGTTCAAGGGCATCATGTTTTGTCGAACACAAAAACCGAAATATATGCCGAAGGTGGCAAGGTTGAAGTGTCAATAATTTTCATTTTGCCGCAGAAATCGGTCAATAGACATGTATGTTTTTCATACCTTTTTTCTTTTTATTTTGGCATATCTTACACTGGCTTCAATATTTGTGATGATTAAGTTGATACAATGTGCATGTATAGTTAATTATGACAATTCGACGAAGTAAAAACATAATTACGATTCAATCTACAAGTCAAATATCTTACTCAGCCTCCCAAAATCATTTATTTTGGACCATTTATAATTTTCAAACATTAAACTTTTAAAATAGTTTAATTGGTTACTGGAACACTTTACGACGTGATTGATATTATTGCTAATCAAAAATATGTTTATGAAATATGGAGATAATGAACAGTATCCATACTCAGATTCTATCCAATCAAAACAAATAGGGAGCAAAGCAAATAGCGGACCTCTTTAACATCAGAAGTGAGATTAGGTGCCATGGAGTAGTTAGCATCCCCTGCCGACCGGTCACACCCGCCGTGCGCTCCTGGTCATGATCGGAAAAAAACGAAACAATCCGTAGAAAATTCGGAATATAAATAAAGGCTTAACAATTAAACAATTAGTGTTAAAAATGTCAGTCAGCAGTCATGTATGTATACAATGTGTATAACATATTAAATCAATAATATATTTTTTTCAGATTTGTTTTGTGAATTACACTTTTTCATGGCCTTGAAGGTTAGATTTGGGGCCAAATCTTCTTAATACCACCTATTAAAACTTGTTATTTAATATTCACATAGGGTTGCCAACAAAAACTTGAACTCATATCAAAACACCCCTTTTTTATGTGTGTTTTTTGAATTTATCGCTCCTAAAGTTAGGTTAGGCAATATATGGATCAAACCAAACAGGAAAACTACAGGTATATTTTGTCTTTTCATTTTATTTTTGCCTCTTCTGCCCTGGTCATTAGTAGGCTAAAATTCAACCGAAACATTTCTCTTTTCACACAATTGCATGTATGCAAATAAAGAAAGGGGCAACATTATTTTCAAGAGTAATAGGACGAATGTGATTTATAGAACATTCTTTCAAAATTATTCTAAGAAACACGAAACACTTTTTAATTTATAAGTCAACTCGCGCAGTTGAAAAGTTTAGTCCTAAATGGTAAGAATAGGAATAAAAGAGCGTTTACTTTACAGAAAAGACGGTGTCTTCAAGGTTACATGTATTAAGCTACAATATGTCAAATCGGGCATCTTCATTAAAACTAATTTAATCTTTAAAACTCTTAAAGGTGCATGGAAACAGATTTGAAGTTAACATTTTCTGTATGATATCACGACTTAAAGTGCAAGGATGTGTCAATCAAACCGTCAAAAATATTGAAGTTTTAATAACTTTTAGATGAAATAAGATTTTTAATATATTATTGTGTGAAATGCTATTAAAATATATAAGTTGTAATATTATACGGAAAATAATAACTTCAAATCTGTGCCCATGCACCTTTAAATCATTATCTTCATATAAATTTACCTCAAAAGGCGACGTGCAAGCTTGGTATAAGCACTGTTTCCAATGAGCTTTTTTCAGAAATTCGAAATAAATCAAAGATTTACCAAACATTTTCTCAATGTTGTTGAAATAAAGCAATGAAAGGTTTCTTAGTTGAAAGTTCGTTGAGGTTTTCACAAAGATTTTACATGTGTGAATTATTTCATTCATAAACACATTAATTTATAAGATATTGGGGATTTTTTTTCTCTTCTAAGTTTGAAGCAATATTTTCTGACTGCAATATTACTTCTTTTTGGTTTAAATTATGAGGATTTGAACGTTGAAATTCTTCAATAGGAACTATAGAAACAAAATTTAATTTAAAAGTGTTGTTTTTCTGATGCTAAACTTTATCTTTGTTGTCCTTTCAAAGGTTACAGGAGTGGTTAATTATGTTCCCCAAACGAAGTTGGGGAACATATTGTTTTTACTCTGTTTCTTATTATTATTATTATTTTTCTTCTTCTTCTTCTTCTTCCTGGGTACTTTTTTGTCCGGGAATGAGTAAACTATACATCCGACTAAGGTGAAATGTTTTTAGGGTCAGTAGACATGTTATGTAGATTTACAAGGTCATTTTATGCTTGCAAGAGCGTGCACGTGCAACATGTGAAATGACCGATTTAATTGATATAGGCATAACTTTTTAAATTTTTGATGAAATGCTTTGAAACTTATAACATAAGGATATATTAGTAGCATAGACAATATGACATGGTCAAAATAGCAAGATCTCACGCGCATGCAACTTCAATATCTTTCTTGTTTTTTGACGAAATTCTTTGAAATTTTAAAAATAGCCATGCATTAGTGATATATAGCAATTATCATGAAAACACGTGCATGCACGTGCGCTGCAATCTGATTGGCTTAAACTTTGAATAGCTATAACTCCTTTGATTTTCAACCAAACAGGATGGGATTTATAGATAGATATTCTGGTTACTGCAAGAAAAATGGTCACCATGCAATGCATACATGTGCATGTACGTGCGCTGCAATTGATTGGCTGAAACTTTAAACAGCTATAACTCCCTTGGTTTTCAACCAAATGGTGTGGGATTTAGAACATAGATAGATGTAACGGACATCTACAAGAAGGTATGGTCACCATGCTCATGTATGCACGTGCGTGCACGTGAAATGGGTAAAATTAAAAATACACTTGAATGAGCGTTTTTTTTTTTATACTTTTGGATTAAATACTTTAATACATGTATTTAGTATATCAAAATATATAGATTGTGTAGACAAGATGATATGGTCATTACGCACATGCATTCACATGCGCACGCCTGCAATTCTAAAATTTGAATGAACTTGGCGTTGTTAAAGTCAAAAATGCATAGATTTTGTCCTATTTAATGAAGCTTACAGGGAATATGGCACCAAAAGGGAGTCGGGGAGCGTTTGGGGAACATCTGTAACGGTCCCCGTTACAATTAGCACTAGTTTATCTTTTTTTTTAAAAAGTCTCATAAATTCATAAATTACAATATATGTGTGATGATTCCGCACGTAGCATATAAAAAAATATATACTTTAAAGAGAAAAATAACTTATATGATTGAAATTTAGTTCAATTATCACATCATGTTGTCACCGGTACCTTGTCTTTATCCACTAATCATTAAGCATTAGTGATGTTTTTAATGAAAATAAAGATATGTTCAGTTATCAAAATAACTCTTCAGTCGAACAAAAACATATTCATTCTTTAATATGTTTTTAAGGAGTCATTGTATATTAAGTCTTTTCTTTCTTTCCTTAAATTAATAAAAAGATATTTGAAGAAATGTTGACTGTAGTGCATATTTTTGTCATGAAAAATTACAACATTCTTTTGAATTATTTGAAGACAATAAATTTTGTCGAGTTTTTATTTCAGCACTTTGATGTAGATATCCTAGTGGATGGTAAGGGTATTGAAGTTGTTGACAATAAAGAGGAAGAAAATCATGAACTTCCGTTTCCGCCTGACCACGACAATCATTGGTTGATTCTGTCCATAACCGATAAAAATAAAAGGTAATTAAACATTCGATGATTCTGCACATACACTGTAAACGATAGAAATAAGAAATAATCATCACGACAATCATTGAATGATATTGATGCTGTCCATAACTGATAAAAAAAAAGTTAATCCACTCACCATGACAATTATCGGATGATTCTCTCCATAACCGATAAATATAAAAGGTAATTAAATCACCATGACAATAAATGGATGATTCTGTCCATAACCAACAAAAATAAAAGGATTCAACTCACCATGACAATCACTGGATGATTGTCGCTGTCATCGTAAAGTTTCACATTTTCATCTTCTCAAGAACCAATTTAAACCAAACTTGCCACAAAGTATCTTTGGGTGAAGGGGAGTCAAGTTTCTTCAAATGAAAGGCCACGACCTCTTCCAAGGGTAGATAATCATTGATTAGTGAAAAATTAAATGCATCTTTTACAAATTTTCTAGGCCAGGAAATATGAAACTTCTTAGGTAGTGTAGATTCAAGTTTGTTCAAATCATTACCCTCGGGAGTAGAGATGAGCCACAATGAACCGACAAAATTTAACATAGGAGTGTATAGGGAAATATTTTATAAATATTCTTCTCAAGAACAGCAAAGCCAAGATTGGTCATATTTATGTGAAAGTATCCTCATGTAGTGTAGATTCAAGTTTGTTTAAATCATGACCCCCGGGGGTAGGTGGGGTCACAATGGTCGATTAAAGTTTTACATAGGAATAAATAGGAAAAATCTTCTTCTCAAGTACAGCAGAGCTATGATTGGTCATATTTACATCCTCGTGTGGCGTAGTTTCAAAAGTCTGTTCAAATCATGACCCAGGGGGATAGAGTCCAAATATGAAAATACATAGCAGATCATAAGATTTCTTTTACTTTTCCTTTTACAAGTTTAGTTTGATAAGCAAGTTTAAAAACTTCGTTGACATACTCAATTTTTATTTCTACTCAATATTTTTATCACATATTTACATAATTATCAATATCTAGACGCCAATGACGAAACAATTGGAAGGGGTTCATGTAATTTCATACCACAGAGTAAATTTTTTACATGTGAGGAATAAACAATCTTAATGTGCCGTTTTTATTTATATTTAGGGTAACCGTAAATCTAAATGGTAGTTCAGTGTATGTTGGGTACAGTCTTGGCTGGTTCGTGGGTGGAAACACACACACGTCAGATTATACTGTGACTGTCGGAGCTTCAGGGGACGGATCTCAAAGTTTTGTTGGTGGAGTATCCCGCTTGATAATTGATGACAGGTAATGATATGTGTAGAATTAACACAGAATACATGGCTTACGAAGTAGTTTTTAAAATTAGATTAATCTTAAATATATTCCTATTTTTATTCATATATTTTTCTTGTTAAAGACTTCCATTGTGATTGTGGTATTGGTTAAGTTTACATACGTTTCTTCTTAGTATATCTGATGAACTTAAATTACAAGTTAATGTATAGTTAGAAACAGGGGTAATAACTTTTCAATGAGTATAAACTCATTATGAGTATATTTGCGGTACTGTATTAACTGTACTATGACATGTGGTTCATATAAATTTTTAATGACCTCACCTTTTCCGGAAAATTAAAAAATATTCAATATTATCCTTTTGCATAATATAGCTAAATAATATTTTAAAAACTAATTTTATGTTTATGCTTCACAAACATTCTGAAAAGAGAGAAAATTCTTACTTGCTTTTCTTATTCAAAAATCTGAACTCCAATGAGAAAATATGTTTTACTAGATATTTTAAGCTTTTTACCAGTATATTATTAAAGGAGTATATTATCTCCTTTGTTAGTATGAAAAATAAAGATTTTTTTATCCTTAACTGTGAATCTTTACAGTTTGCTTCCAATGTTTATTAAATTTGGCCTAATAGTTTTTGCTTTTAACTTCTTATTAGCCAACTGTATAACTTCCATGTATCTTTAAATCTATGAAATGATGTATTGCCTATTGTATTGCCTTTATCGTATAACATATCCATTGGCTAAATGATAAGGTTCTCATTACATCGCGGTATGTTCGTTTGTTTTTGTTTGACGTCCTTTTGAGTATTTTTCGCACATATTGAGACGCCATATTTTGCCGATGGAGGACTGCAAATTTAAAACTGTACTTGGCACATAAGGACTATGAGTAGCAAGGGGTCTCTTATCTGGCCAATACATACTGTGACGTGGGACCAGTTTACGTCTACTGATTCGATAGACTTGTCCTCGCGTCCCGAAGTGTAATTTGAACCCGCGTCGTAAGAATAAATCCTTTCCTACGCGACTCTGGAGCAAGCACTCTGACCACTGCGCTCGCCATATTGGCTTCTTACGGTTTACGGTTTATAGGACTACATGGTAACTTGTAGTCCCGAAATTATTCAATGTTTCAAAGGAATACTAGAGAACTTAAAGTTGATGTATGTCATTAAATAACTTTCTCATAAGAATTATCTAAAATAAGCATCAAGATGTGAAAAGGAAAACGAAATATTGTGGTCAGTGGTCATTTACAAGTATTTTACATGGGATTTCTCTTTCTATATCTATCTTTGATCATGATATCAATCTGTATTTTTTTTATTACTTTACTTTTTTTTACTTATAAAATCTCAGATTCGATATTTTATAATTATCAGAATCAGAATAAGGTGTATATTGAATAGTCATACACTATATCATTATGTACAATTAATTTTCATTGATTTATTTCTTAACATTAAAATGCGAGTTCTTTGGCCTTTCCTATATTACCTGATTACGGAAGCAATTAAATCAAAACGTCTGCTGTATCACACTTAATATTCTATGGCTGAAATGAAACTGCGTATATTTTCCATTTAAGTACATAAAATTTACTGAATTGCCGTTACTATGAGATCCTTTGATTTATTAAGATTTAATGTTAGCAGTCTTTCTTGAGACAACTGATTTCTGTCTCTTTATCTCATTGGAAACTTTTCCAGTTTCTACTGCAAAATTAGGACTGCATGCAGTAGGAACAAAATTTGTATATATAATTTTAAAATACCGTAATATGGAAATGTCTGTTTCTAACCCATCCTTTTAAAGAATTTCATATATAGGTTTAATAATCCCCTTGTCCTTATAATGAACATTGATGTAGCTAACATGTGTATCATTGTACATGCAGGGAGACCCCACTTGACGATTTTAGAAATTCCCATCACCTGCAGAGCTGCAGACGACCATTAGTAGAATCTCTGGACGTTGCGGACATGTCAGAAAAACCAGTCTGCTGACGAACTGTGTTAGTCATGTGTTTACCGGTGTCTGTCAGGCGGCAAAATCAGATTACGCCACGACCAAAGTTCAACATGTTTGTTCAAGGCCCTGACATATATATTTTTGTACTTCAAAACACCATTTGTGTTTATTAGTTTGCATTTTAACTTCAAGTACGCCTATCTTATTTTTTTGTCAAATTTCAGAGTAGACATTCGAACAAGGGCATTGGAAGTTAATGTAAAGGTTGAGTATTTGCATGTATAAAAACTCTACACATTTTCTATATATTCGATCAATGCATACTATCTTTGCAAGATATATAACTGTATTCAGCGGCAGCTCACACATATTGGTCCGACCAAAATAATTCCATCATGATAAGTAGATACAACATTATTGTTCATGATAAGAGTAAAGTTGTGTATGTCATACGTTAAAGAAATCAAAAATAACGTCAAAATATCATTAGAAAGTCACTTTCCCCCCGAAATGCAAATAAAAAATATCAATATTCCTACGCTCGCTCCCTCCTCAGCCTTTTTTTTTTTTTGACGTGTTTGATAACAGAGAATAATTAGGTCATTCTTCGATTCATATCTTTTCACCAATGAATTGATAATACTATATCAACAATTGTATTAAGTACATGTTTATAGTCCGTTAATTATCATACAATTTGTTCTTAAAGAAAAAATTAATCATTCTAGCAGCTGTGTGTGTGTATTATTAAATGACGGAATTTTCAATCCCTGGCCTGCTCGTGTGTACACTTTGTAAACTGTAGGGTATGTGTGACAAAACGAGAACTGCATGGGTTTATTCGGGTTCGTGTTGAAGTTCAGCATACCATTATATACAGAACTTGAATAATGTAAGTAATTTCTGCGACAAATATATTAGTATATTTCAGTTATTTTCAAAACAAAAAAGGTTTTCCATGTTTTCAGTTTAGAATTTTCCGACCCGGTCCTGATTTTCCCAACCCGGCCATTTTAAACACAAGTTGTTGCAGATGCAAATGTTAGAACAAACTATATAAAGTTCAACAGGGATTGTATAATTTTTATTAATCAGAATTCGTATTTATATGATCTAATTAAGAAAAGAAAAGTTTTGTCTGACACCGTAACTTCTCGGCAAAACAAAACGTGTTTCTCCAAGCTCGCTGGATGCGTGTGACAGCTCCATTGCACGTGTGTAGACCAAGGCAACAGGTACATGTAGGCCTATGTGTACTGTTTGTTAGGAGACTGGGTGACCGTAATGCTATGGAATCACGATATTTACAACAGTTCCATAATTAGACAGTGCAGTTTTTTTTATTAACGTCATTATAAACACTGTTAAACATATTAAATCTAACAGTCGAATATCTTTGGATATGGGGTAACCCATATCTATTCTTGTTATACATGCACATATTTACTAACTTTAACTTCCAGTGCCTTCACATATACTTAATCTTTTTTTATGATTTTAGCATGTAGAATTATAATATTTGTACAGAAGCTCCTTAAAAATACCTGTCTACAGACTCCTTTGCACTTGTCTCTGTTATGCCAGTAACGTGCTTCTAAGTCAAACACTCATGTAGCGAAGTATTACACTGTATGTTCAATAAAATTAAAATTTTGCTCAATATTCATAATAAATGTGTTCATGAAAATTTTTTACTTAGAGTTGTCGATCTTGGTGTGCATTTTCTAGTCTTTAAAATAAGCATATCTGTTTCTTTATCAGCTTTAACAGGTCTGGACGATTTCTAAATATGGAAGTCAAGAACGATAACCGAAAGTTGCTATAAATGTACATCAAGTACACGTAATTATTTTTCTGTCCAATCAGACAACAGCATTTTTACACACCCCAAAACATATTTTAAAAGAACAAAAAGATAACACGTGCTTTTGTTTTTTTCCTCAAAAAGATTTTTTTAACGAAAAATCTGTAGAAGTAAGATGAAAACTTTTGAAGAAAAAGGTATTCCCCACATTTTTACCGTGAACAACCTTGACATTTTTATCTCGGTAAAGAAAAAATAATAATGCACGATAAAATGTAATCGTTTACAGAGGTATAGATCGCACCAGCAAGTTTTTATCAAGTTTAATTGGAACATTTACCAGAATATATTATATGATGGTAAATATAATTTTGCTTAGCCGTCCGATTTTCATCGATAATGTTTAAATTCCATGTGTATAGATCAACTCACACCAGTGTTTATCGTATGGAGTATACACATATAGTTTTGCATTATCACGGGTTTCATGAGCGCCGAATACTTAGCTAAGCAGACTTTAAATGGGCATAAGGAAAGGCGTTTAACGTGGAGAAAAGAGAATCCTGTACATGTAATTATACATGAATGCGTTTTATCCCAATAGCTTACCTAACATATCAGAAACTGCATGGACTACTAGTATTCTGTAATAAACACTCAAAAATAATAAAGACTGTTATCTTTTCGATAAAATTTTTATGTCAGGCTCTAAAAACTGAAAATTTACCGTATTTATATCATTTTTTTAACGTAAGTAAACTTTTGGGATTGCTAACTCCTATAGACAGATTTTATTTATCCCACTTAAAACGTATTCCAAGCTTTCAAGTCGTGTTTGTTCACGGTAGAATTGTCATAAATATTATATTATTCCCAAATGCGCATACAGTTTACAAAAAGTTTATTCTAAAAAAATCTTTTGAGCAAAAAACTTAAAAACCACGTGTTTTATTTATTCTCTCATGGGTTTGTCTAAATGCTGTTATCTGATTGGTCAGAAGGATTAGCGCCTTGTTTATTCTGTGTATTAATAGCAATTCACGGTTATCGTTCTTGACTTCCTTATTTAGAAATCGTCCAGACCTGTTTAATGTCAAATGTAATTTACAATTGACCATCTGTAGGTTAATTTTGCGGTCTACAACATAAGTCTGCTTATAACAGGGCGCTATTGGTATACTCATTGAAATTCCAATAGATTGTTGGAAGACCTGGTTTCCAAATACCACAAAGATATTGTCAATCAAAAACTCAACACTTTTAATGAAGTTTCGGATTCCAATATATATATATGGTAGTTCAAAATCATTTTGGTTGTTTTGAATATTAAAAGTATTCTAAACTGACATATGATTTTGAAGAATTTCTTCCTTAGAAAGGGAACTATGAGTATAGGCTGCATATGATCCCAAAAATAACCCCTTTTAAAGTACTCCATTCCATCGACAATGAAAAGACTATTGGGGAGTAAGTCGGCAGTGCAATTCGATTCCAAATAGGGGAATGCAATGACCTCGCCAATAACATAGTGAATTCTTCCAGCCCGTAGTGTGAAATATGGATGTAATTAGACTTTTTATCATGATTTATATGGAGATAAGGAAGAGTATTCAAGCTCAAAAGTCCATATACGATATGCAAAATTTTTACGAAAATTCATTTATTTTGCGACATTGCCTTTCGTCAATAATAAATTAGCTCCACAACATATTGACACTGAACTTGTCTTTACATGTGTGTCCTAAAAATTAATCTTCTAATTGAATTCTTCGAAGACGATACTTAGATACTTCGTAACCAGAATACAGTCTACCGTTTGTGATATTGGGCGTCGTTCAATACAGGCTCTATAAAACTGCCATAATAATTTCGGAGTCCGATCAACTCCTCAACAAAAAAAAACCCAGAACAATGAAATAGCAACAGAATATAATTTGTAATATTTATTCTTTTGAAAGGAAATTCGACGGGTACTAACTTTCCTCTATCATTTACAAACCTATTTTTATTTTCCTCTGAAGTAGAATTTCTTCAAGATCTTTTACATGAAAATAATAAAACACTTCTCAAGCCCTCTAACTTGGTATATCTATGACGTTTTATTAGTTAACATTTGTTATTTTATCCATATATTGACTCTTCATGCCCAAGTGAATATGAAATAAAAGACACCACAAAGTCTTCCAAATCTGTTTCATATGTGGATGTATTATGGACTTTAAGTGATAAAACCCAGCTAACAACTGTATTATATTTCAAACGAAATTACCTGGTACTTTAGTTATTCCATCGTTATAATATACATATGTGGTCAATACAATGATTTATCTATGAGACTTTAGCCCGGAGGGTGATAATATGGTACCGAAGATGGCTAAATCATTGTATTGACACAGCAATAATTGTTTTATTATATGATTCACTAATAAAATGATAAAACCCATTACTTGTTTGCATTTGATTAAGTCCTATCCAAATACAATTAAGAGAGAAGCAGAATTAAAATGTTAATAAACCTTACAGGTCGTATTTATTTTTTTGTTAAGTTTTTTTTAAAATCAATTTTAGTTGCCATGAAAAAAAATTATGTCAGTCTTTTTTCTAGTATAGAGTTTTAAAGGAAGGAGTATTATCAGGGAAAACTGACTGCCAAAAAGTAAAAATTGTTTTTCAGTAAAAGTGTTGGAGGAGTGTCCATGCATCCCCTCTTATCACCCTCACCCGAAAATATATATTCGCTTAACTTATCTTCACATGAAAAAAAGTTATAGTAGTTTAAATAGCTTTCCAAATTCAATTTGTATCAATTTGGAATATCCCGATCTATTTTTAGATCAATGTCAAGGAAATAAATCCTTGTATTGATACACGTGCAGGTCAATACAACGTAGTATTTTTCTAACATAGTTGGATCTCAGCCAATCAGAGAGATGAAAACTATTCAATCATATAATAACATCCATTATTAACGCAGTTTTATTCTGATATTACCTGCACATGGTATTTGTGTCTCTCAGCTTTTTCACTATTCAAGAATATGCGTCGAGTACGATACAGTTTTTACACCTAGACATATTACTAGTATTCACAGACAAGTTGATGTTACAGAGATTTCAACAATTTCGTGCAAGTCAGCATTTCGAAAATTCTATGGTTGTTTTAGCAATACCTGTTGGCAGATATGGGTTGTATTTTGATTGACTTGTTAATAGCTCGTTTGACTTTAAATTTCCATTTTTCATGCAATTGTATATGGATTATTTTTTTTTAATTTTACCTCATTTTTCTGTCTTTTGGTAAAACTTTTAATTTAGTTATTTCATTTTCTAAAAAAAAAAGAGAAAAAAAACCAATGTCTTTTGATATTTTCAGAGCAGTTATACTATTTGTGTACTTTATATTATATACAAGCAAATAATTCTACAGTAAACAAATGAATTAAGGATTCTTTCAGAAATGAATTATGGTATTTTATTTTCATTATCATAGGC